ATACTTATTATATATATATATATATATATATATATATATAGGTGATTTGATGAATCAACTTGGGTTCCTCTCTTTTTACCTCATTTGGGGTTGGAAGTGGTCATTTTTTGGCGTGCAAACCCTTCGTTTATGCTGAAGCTGCCTGGGTAGTGGAGATTGCTGGTCATCAGGGGGGGGGGGGTGAGATTAAATAAACAATAATCACGGAAATAATAGGAATTGGAACGATGGGTGTGATCGGCGGATGCTCTTTAATTTTCTCGACGGATCTAAATTCATCGGAATGGGAAACAGAGCTCTTGGTGAGGGAGGAGGGCCCATTCTATATTAAAAATAGGCATCCTACGGGATTAACATATTTGCTGGGAAGTAATGAACGCATAACCTTTCAAAGGGAAATGGCCTACGTAACTGAAATCGTTTGTGAATCTCTCTCGGTTTTCCATTTCGTATTTGTTTAGTTAAGACGGTTTACGTAAATTTTGGGAGTGGTCTTCGAGTACGAATCAAACTCGCGCAGGTGGATGCTGACGGGCAAAGTTTGCCCATCGTGGGCGATAACCATTCAATTCTAAGCCACACCCTTAATCTGCTCAAAAGGGGCATGCGTGGCTTTCAAGATATTATCCCATCAAAAAAACAAAAAATGGCGATAAGTACCTGCGTTCTCCCCCTGACTTTGGAAAAGGGGGGCGCGTTGTATAGCTGTATATCTCTCGATTGATCGTTGTGGTGAGGGAAAATGAGCGCATCGTAAGGGATTACATCTCACAGCCGCCCCGTTCAATTCAAATCGGTAATTGGATTACTCTTTGGGCTGCGTGCTCCACCATTCACCCCTTCGCACGCTCCTCAAGTGAGGGCTCCCTTGGACACAGCCCATTAAGGTGTGTTCTATCTAAAAGTTTGTTTATCTTTTCGAGCGCGCATCCGCGCCACGAGATCCTTCATCTTTCAGCATGCCCTTCCGTCGAATAAACGGTGAACTGCCCGCCAATACGCGCGATAATCTCTAGCAGAATCATGCCAACTTCCAGATTAAACTAGTAGAGCAAGACTTGGCACACAACACAACCAAAACGATTCAACTTCGTATGTCGGAATCGAGTAGATGTTTTGTCTCCTACCAGGAATTTTTCTTTCTCATTTGATCATACATCGATGCGTATTCGATTAACCTCATTCTTCCCTTTCCTTTCTCCCCTTGTGAACTTCACATCGTCTGCAGTTTTCCCTTTTCCCCTCGTACAGTATACCCAAGGCATTGAATAAGTAGGATTTGCCCACTTAAATTACTAATCATCATCATCATCATCATAGTAGAAATCCATCGTCGAAGTCACGTGTTACGTTAGGCGGAAATCTACGGATATCGATATATATTGATAGATTTTAGGATTCAAACGCACACTCACCGCATCCATGAACACGATGAAAGCCCCTGACGACGGGAGTCGGGGTGTGGCGATGCAGCGCAGACTACAGATCCTCTACCGCAACTACCTCGACGCGAGTGTTCCGCATCGTAGCCTGCGCTGGTCGATCTTCGGTTTCCTATGTTTTCTGTATCTGATTCGCGTGTTATCGTATGGTGGGTTTTACGTCATCACCTACGCGTTAGGGATTCACATGCTGTATCTGTTGTTGATGCTCGTGACCCCCCTTTCGGATCCAGAGGAGCTCGCGACGGATGAAGCGCAGCTCCCCACGCGCGAGGCGGATGGCGAATTCAAGCCGTTTGTTCCCAAAGTTCAGGAGTTTGTCGTGTGGAAGAGCATGATGAAGGTGTTGTTAGTTTGCCTCGTGTTGGTGATGTTTCCGTTTTTAGACATCCCGGTTTACTGGCCGATTTTGCTCATCTACTTTGTCGTGCTCTGCATCACCCAGATGGGTGGTCGGATTAAGCATATGGTTCGTTATAAGTACGTGCCGTGGAATGCAGGTAAACCCAAGTACGTTCCTAAGAAGAGTAACGTCTGATGAAATACATTTTCCCCTTCCCCGTCCTCCTCCCCCCCCTCCCCCCACTCTCTCTTCTCCAGGGTACCTTGTGGAGAACTTGGTGAAGTTTTTTTTTTTGAAAAGCAAAAAAAGATGAAAATAAATAACAAATTGATTGCTCTCCTTGGCGATGGAGAACCAGAGATAGATAGTTGGGTGATGCAACACATCTGATATTTTTTTCTCCTTATGTGTTGATTTTGAAATATTGTTTAAGATTTTCGACTGAAAATTAATAGGGGGTGTTTGGTGACCTTCTTATACATTTCTGAGATTATTATATTCCACACACGTCCGAATGAGTTGCGAATCGAGCTTGAGGAAAAGTGGTAAGAGTCCTAATATTTTCATAGATGTGAATTTCCATCATTGTTGAAGGATATGTAGGCAGAATCTATTGAGTTATGAAGGTTATATTTTTGATCATGATGATGAGTATTGGATTTCACCGCGATGTGGGGTCTACGGTGAGGGTTTACTTATTTTATCCCTTGTTGTTGTTATTTTTCTTTTTAGAAGAAGAAATCTCTAGCGATAGACTCTCAAGCGATACGTGGTACGACTGTGTTGTTGTTATACTCTGTTCAACCAAACCACCGACGCAAAAAAAAAAAAGGAAACAGAAGAATCCCCATATATATATATATATAACACATACGCGCGATGTCGAACGAAAAAGGTGCCTGTCAAACCAAGGCGACCGTGCGAATCAAGGAAAACGAGGAGGACGAGAAGGAAATCATCCCGCTTGATCGAGATGACATTGCGCTGCTCAAACTCTACGGCTCCGGCCCCTACCACGTGACGATCAAGGAGCTCGAGGACTACGTCAAGACGAAGGCGGAGCAGCTCAATAAGCTGGCGGGGATGAAAGAAAGCGAGATGGGGCTCGCCCCGGCGGTGCAGTGGGATTTGAACGCGGATCGTCAGGTGATGGAGACGGAAAGCTCCCTCCACGTGGGTCGTTGCCAGCGGATTATTAACAAAGGCCAGGAGAACGCCCGCTATGTGGTTCGCATCCGCGATCATGCGAATTACGTCGTGAAACTCGGCGATCGCGTCGCGCCGGAGGATATCGAGGAGTCGATGCGCGTCGGGATTCACATGGGGTATAGTAAAATTCAGATTGAAATCCCCCTCCCCCCTCGGATCGACCCCTCCGTGAGTATGATGCAGGTGGAGGATAAACCGGACGTCACCTACGCCGATGTCGGCGGGATGGCGACGCAGATCGAGCGGCTTCGCGAGGTCGTCGAGCTGCCGTTAACCCATCCGGAAAAGTACACGCGATTGGGGATTGATCCGCCGAAAGGCATCCTCTTGTATGGCCCCCCCGGGACCGGTAAAACCCTCCTCGCGAAGGCCGTGGCGAACCGCACGGACGCGACCTTTATCCGCGTGATCGGCTCCGAGCTCGTGCAGCGGTATATCGGCGAGGGCGCGCGCATGGTGCGCGAGATTTTCCAACTCGCGCGGACGAAAAAGGCGTGCGTGATTTTTTTTGACGAGGTCGACGCCGTCGGCGGGAGCCGCGGCGGCGACGGCGATAACGAAATCGAACGGACGATGCTGGAAATGGTCAACCAAATGGACGGCTTCGACGCGCGCGGGAATGTGAAGGTGATTATGGCGACGAATCGGCCGGATACCCTGGATCCCGCGCTCACCCGCCCGGGGCGGATGGATCGTCGGCTCGAAATCGGCCTCCCGGATCTCGAAGGCCGGAGTGGGATTCTCCGAATCCACGCCCGGTCGATGTCGTGCGCGAAGGGCATTCGATTTGAGCTGATCGCACGACTTTGCCCGAACACGACGGGGGCGGATCTCCGCTCGGTGTGCACGGAGGCCGGGATGTTCGCGATCCGCGCGCGGCGGAAGACGATCACCGAGCGCGATTTCCTCGAGGCCGTGAATAAGGTGATTAAAGGGCAGCATAAATTCAGCGCCACGGCGAAGTATATGGTCTACAACTGAGTGAAGCAAAAAGGAGGCGGGAAAACGAAAGGAAACAAAAAGGGGGGCGTGAGAGGGATTGATGGATATCTAAATATATGATTCATGTACTTAAGGCGAAAGAGGGGAGGAAGGGGCGGACTTGGACGTGATCGGGAGAGGAAAAGGGGAACGCGTGAGTTAGAAAGTTGCTGATTCGAGAGGTGGGGGGGGGGGGG